AACAACAGCAACTTGTCTGTTCCCCTTCCCCAATCCCCCAGCACTGTTCCCATCCCCCCAATTCCCCAATAAAAAAAATCTTAAAAAAAAAAAAAAAGAAAACCAGTCACCCTACTTAGGGCCAGCACATGGACTTGCTCGCTGGTGAGCACTCACCTGGTCCCTGGCGGAGGGAGTGTCTCCGTGAGCAGGGTCCCAGGAGCCTGCAGGGAAAGACTGAACTGAGCGCCTTTAGCGCGGGAGCTGGAGGTTCTGGGACCATTGTTCCCCCTGGTGTGGAGCTTGCATATGAGTAGTGTACAAGAGGGCACCATTTTTCCAGGGTTGGGCCTTCCCACAGAGGGTCAGGTTCAGGACCACATTGGTCTGGTGGAATCAGGGCAGGCATGCGTGTGTGTGTGTGTGTGTGTGTGTGTGCATGCTGCTTTGGATCTCTGCTCTCCACACTGCATGTGCAGAGTTGCTGGGGTGGCGCCTGGCTGTCGGGCTGCTCTGCCTGATCTGCGAGTGGCTGATTGGGACAGGCTGAGACTGGGAGTTTTCCTGGATGTGTTGGGCCAAGAGCTGTGTGGGGTATTCGTGGCGCATTTGTGCGGGCTGGTTGCTGGTGCAGGAGCGCACGCTACTCTGACTTGGTGGGGGCCACTGCCTACACCCTGTGGTGCGCTGGGGCCCAGCTCCACCCACCTAGAGCTGCATTGCCAGTGGCACCCTGAGCTCCTGGTTCCTGGCCCCCACCTCTACAGGTCAGAGGGTTTTTGCAGCAGTGGACAGATCGCAGAAACCTGTGAGGATTTTTGGTGGTGAGCATGGTCCCAGAGCACATGGCAGCTAATTGTGGGAAGCTCACTGCGAGTCTGAGAGGAAGGCTGGTTCACAACACGTTGGGCCCTTCCCCCCAACACAACTGGTGCTGAGTCACCCAGAGATTCTCTATTGCTGAGATTATGGTCTATAGATTAAAGAGGGTAAAGAGCCTTTTTTTTTCTTTTTTCTTTGTTTTCTGTTTCTTTTTTTTTAAGATTATTATTGGGGAATTGAGGAGGGAAACAGTGTTGTGGAATTGGGGAAGGGGAACATTATGTTTTTCCAAGACCCACCAGCTCCAAGTCAAGTTGTTGTCTTTCAATTTCAGCTCTAAATCCAGTCGCTGCTTTCAATCTAGTTGCAGGAGAGCATAGTCCACCATCCCATGTGGGAGTCAAACTGGCAACCTTGTTGCACACTGAGTTATCCAGCCTCCCGTCGGCAATTCATGGCTGCTCAGCTCAAGGTGCTGTGTTCAATCTTAGTTGCAGGGAGCAGGGGAAAGGGGGGGTGCAGCTCACCATCCCATACTAGTGTCGAACCGGCAACCTTGCTGCTAAGAGCATGTGCTCTCACCAGCTCAGTTGCAGCTCAGCTCGGGCACAGCTCACTGGGAATCAAACCGGCAACCCTGTTGCTCAGAGCTCATGCTCTTAACCAACTGAGCCACTCGGCCGGCCCTTTCCTTTTTTTGTTGTTGTTATTATTTCTTTTCTTTCTCTTTCATCTTTTTGTTCCTTTTTCTTCTTTTTCTTTCATCTGTTTTCTTCTTGTTTCTCAGGCTTGTTTGTCTGGTTATTGCTTTGGTTACTGTTTTTCTGTCTTGTTCTGTTGTTTTTGTGTTTGTATTTTTGTCTCTTTTATATATGTTTGTTTCTCCTGTCTGATCATTGTTTATCATGTTTTTGTGGGGGCGTATTTGTTTTTTGGTGTTGTTGGGTTGCTTTGCTTTGTTTTTGTTTTGTGAAGTGGATGTGGGCCTAACACTGGTCCAGGAGCTGAGACTACAATGAATTTGTAGAAACCACTGACCACAGCCTTTAAGCACCTGTAACACCACCTCGCCCACCTATAGCAGCATTACAGGGGCACTCGGGGTGCCTGGCCTCATCCCCACAAACTGTGGAAAAGATTTTCTTACAACAGAAGGTGGTCCACAGAGCCTTGGGTTCATCTTGGTGTTGCTCAGTGACCACAAACCTGCACCACAGCCACTTGGGAGCAGCTTTTGGGAATTTGTGAGTGTGAAGTGGAGGCTGGCTAATGTGCTCTTGAGACACTATACAAGGGGGTCACGGGCCAGGTATTGCTTTAAGACCTGAATCTGCATTAACATCTTAAAAACCACCAATCATGTCTCATAACTCACTTGAGCTCTATCCTGCCCAGCTAGTGCCACACTGCCGAGGGCACCCTCAACACCAGGTCAAATAACCAGACATATGCTCCTAAAGAGTCTCTTTCAATAGTTGGGTCTTACTAGCATCTGACAGGTGGCAACAGGCCTAGGGTTCCCTGGGCCTTTTGCTAAACTGCCTCAGGACCAATATAGGGGCAGCCACCTTCAGTTCACACAGAGACCATCCCCACATGACCCCAAGTCCAGCACAGACAGCAGCCAACTGCATACCGCCTTGAGGCACCTACCAGGTAGATACGGACCGGGAACAAGCAGGTCTGAAATGGCTCTGAGTAGGAGCCCTGCCCGAGAGACACCAGAACCAATACACCCAGAGGACAGTGTTAGACCAAACCAGAGTACTACCTGGTTGAACCTACAAGTGGCACTCTCAAAAAAAATTTTCCACAGGCACAAGAGCCCACAGTGGTCAATCCTCCTCTGACAGGATCAACCTCCACACAGCAGCTCATACACTATGAACAGAGCTAATTCTCCCAGATAATCAGCCTGAGTGTCAATCCCACCCTCTGAAAAGCCAAAAGCAATTAAGATAAACTTTAAGAGTGACACCTCTGCCAAGTGGCTCAGTTGGTTAAGAGCTCGCTCAAGAGTTTGAGCTCTGAGCAACAGCGGTTCAATGCCTGGCCCGAGCTGAGCTGCCGCTGAGCAACCAAAAGGTGGCAGGATGGCTCAGCTAAAAAAGAAAAGAAAAAAAAAGAGACACCTCTGGAATACATGAGATAGGAGAATATGGAGACTGTGCAATCTGAATATAAAGGACACATACTATTGGGTTATCAGAAAAGTCAT